GCATTTTGAAGGTCTGGAATCAGATTTAGAATCAGTTTATCTCTACCAGATGAGTCCTTTTTAGAAGGACTGACTGACTAAATTAATTTTAACAAACAAAAAAGAAAGAAAGGAAGGAAAGATAGAAAGAAAGAAAGAAAGAGAGGGAAGGAAGAAAGAGAATGAAATATGTAATAACTGTTCTTTTGTTTATGTTTGCTTTAAATTATTTAAAATATAATTTTAATGTTTTATAGTTTTTTTACATAAAACTTATGCTGGTTTATCAGTATTGTTTTAGGATCCAAACATTTACAGAGGCAACAGTATTTATATATAATGAAAATCACATTTATTATCTTCCACTCCAAAGCATCTGCACCCTCTGAGGGCATTAATATCTTCTTCATTACCTACTGTTGATTCTACTCCTATGTTTATTCTATTTCTAAGTTATTCTCCACCATCTCTCTAAATAGTTTGTATCTAGTAGAATGCAACTTATTTATAAACTTTTATAAGCTTACAATTCAAAAAACCTTTGCCTAATTTACCTAATTACTCCCATTTCATTGTTTTAGAACAGAGGCCAATAAAGTATGGCCTGTAGGCCTAGTCTAGCCCTCTACCTTTTATTTATAAGTAAAATTTTATTGGAACACAGCTATGCTCGTTTCTTTGCATATTGCCCATGGCTACTTTTGCCCTACAATGGCAGAACTGAGTAGCTGTGACAGAGACTGCGTGGTACACAAATCCTAAAATATTTATTATCTGGCCCTTCACAGAAAAAGTTTGGTGACCCCTGTTTCAAAGGATTGTTTTCCACTCAATCTTACTAATTGTGGGGCCTGAGTATTTCCTTCTCCAGCCCTTTCTTCTTGCATATCCCTGGAAATAGTGTGCTTCTCAGAAATTCAATAATAAGAGCCTAAGTATATTCACAGCCATGTTGCTCTTTCCTTCTCAGTGGGAGCTACATGGCGCCCAGTGGCTAGAAAGTGGCTACTCATCCCAATGCCACTGCACATCATTAATATTTATTCAGCAACTTATGATGTACAAAACTGCCATCCAGATGGCACTATTTTTCTCTCTAGAAAGCTCACCTTCCATACTACCTCATCTTGAGTCATCTTCAGGATAACTGCTAAAGTCTGCCTTGTCCATTAGTTAATAAGATCACCTTATTTTTATAGTTCTATTCTAAAACTTTTTTCCTAAAGTTGTTCAGAATCTTTGAATTCCCTTTCTCTTTCTATCCCTACACCCCCCTTCTATCCACATACTCTTTCGTATCCTTATACCCCGTATCATATTAGCCCAGTCTTTCACTGTTCCTTTCTCTGCTCTAAGTACTCTCTTAAACCACATGCTCTGTCTAGAATGCACTTAACCATGAGCCAGTTTCTACCATATGGACAAGGTCAACATCCTAGAAAAGGCTAGAGCAATAAGACAAAGGACACTTGGATTCTTGGGAGACCTACTGGGGCAGAGCCACCTAGAGACCTTGAACCAGCCACATACCTTTGAACTGTTGTGTGAGAAAGAAATAAACCTCCTTCTTGTTCGAGCCACTGTGTTTTAGGTATATTTGTTACATTATCAGTCTGTACTCCAAGTAATGCATAACTAATTTAATTTCTATACTCCCAGGTTCCCATTAACCCTTTTTTTTTTTTTTTTTTTGTGGTACGCGGGCTTCTCACTGTTGTGGCCTCTCCCGTTGCGGAGCACAGGCTCCGGACACACAGGCTCAGCGGCCATGGCTCACAGGCCCAGCCGCTCCGCGGCATGTGGGATCTTCCCGGACCGGGGCACGAACCCATGTCCCCTGCATCGGCAGGCAGACTCTCAACCACTGCGCCACCAGGGAAGCCCCAACCCTTTTTTTTTCAGTAGTTTTACTGGCAACAGCAAGTGAAGCACAGAACTCTGGATAAGCTAATAACTCTTCTCTTTTCCTATTTATCTCTTTATTCTCCATGTAACTTTAGAAAATAAAATTAAAACATTTCTTCCATTTTGTGTTAATTTGTTTTGAATAGCAATACATATTATATTTTTGCTAAAAATCCAGAGTTCTTTCTGTCTTGTGAAACAAATTTTTGATGTACTCTCTGAGACAAGGGAAAGCTCTGTACCTTGATGATTTCGATTCACTAACTAAAATCTCTCAGAGTGATCAGAGGACTATCTGTGTCCTGATGGTTGTTTATCTTCAGACAAAAAGGGGCTGTTAAAATAACTTTGGTTACATTTAAATTTAGCCATGTTACTTGTCTCCATGAATGTTGATAACCAAATACTCTCCAGGTTCCATAAAATTTTTTTCACTTATTTTAAACATACTTGCTTTCATAGATGAGCCAACATTGACCCCCTATGCCTAATTATAAAAGTGAAAGACAGAATAAGAATGTTTGCTTTACTTACACAGTGGGGAAAATTTGAGTAGGGTCAATTAAATGGTTATAAACATTTAAATTCTGACCAGGGAATTTAACCTTCTGATACAAAAAAATTAAAATGTATAGGGAAAAAAATCTTCACAAAATTATAAAATTCTAGGAAGTATATATGTCAAATATGCAATTTTTTTGAGAAAACAGGCCCTGTAGAAATATAAATAGCCAAGATAGCAGGTCTTTTTGATCAAAGAAAGCCTCTCTCACAAATGATGACCTTTGGAGAAATTAAATAGTGACCTACAGGGAGTGCAGGATCAGGTGGAGTGACAAACAATTTGAAAATATATAAATTAGATTTGTTTTAATTCATCATTAAACCAATGTCATTTCAAAAAACTAATACTCTTGATAAAAACACAAAACTGTTTAAAATGCTTGGGTTTGATTTATGTTCACATTAATTTTACTTACAACCTTTAAATTTTCCAACAGGATGACAACTATAACATAAATCTCATATACATCAGGGATTTTTTTTTTGGCTGACAAGTGAAAACAATACACCTTTTCAATGGCAAATAAGAATATGATCAATCACAAGGAAGGAAACACAATTCGTTATATCCAAAGTGCTGAATATTAAATGCCTTTTTGTTGAAGAACATTCAGAATAAGCTATGCCATAAACTTCAGGATCTGGTCAGCCCTGATACACCCCCCCCACTGTTTCTAAGGCAGGTAATGTCTGTAGTAATCTCATTCAGAAAGGGAAAGAAGAGGAAAGAAATATGCCTTAAAGCATAATGGAGAAAAAAAAAACGAGAAACAGACTTAAGTTACCAGAAGTCTTGATGGGGCAGTAAAAATTGTCACTTTTCCTCTGATGGGCTCAAAAGTATCACGTTTTTCAGACTTCAAACAGCTTTTATGTGACTTCTTCTTAGTTTATTTCCCAACAATGGATGACATTTTTAGCTTGTTAAATATCATAGTAAAGATGTGCAGGAAACACACTTAAATCTTAAGTTTCTTGGACAAGGAGATTTAACTAGTTTGTTTTTATTGAAGTGGTGAGTTCATAGGTACCAGCCAAATGCTGAAGTTAGACATTCACGAATATTGGAGTGTCATTAGTTTTAGTAGGTTGAATTTTCAGTCACATCATCATATTTAGGTTTCAAAATAAATTTCAGTCTACTGGGAGATATAAGGTTATCAAATTTTATGTTCTTGTCTTTGAGAATTTTGCTCTTCTTTTGGCTGTTGAGGTGAATTTCTTTGTAAGTGTCTTGGACTTTGATCAGAGGAAAGAGGAAAAAATTAAGTATTTATTACAGTGTGGGGCTGTGTTTTTTTGCCATATGGAAAAGTAGGAGAGAAAATAAATGCAATATATTACTAAAGGCTTTTCAGGTATCTTAGGATAAAACCTTCTTTTTATTTGCATGCTTTGAGTATTTCTCCCCCATGAGCCCCTAGGCACTTTAAAAGTCAAAGCAAACTTAACGGCACTTTTTTCTCCAACAATGTTATGTGTGTTTAGGTCCCTGAAGAAAAATGTGTTCTAAGTTTGTTTTAAAAATCCTTCCGTTGTGTTCATTGTATGTTTCAAGATGTTCAGTGTAGACTATGGATAAGGGAAGAGAATAGAAGGAGGGAAATAATAAAAGGGAAACTAATAAAAAATTTTTGAAAATGACATCTAGCTCCAAAAATACAACTCTAAAAAACCATTAGTCATTTTATTAAACATATTTATTAAGCTAATCAGCTGGGATGATTAGAGTAGTAAGCTGGAAAGTGAGCTGGTGGAGTTACTAAAGGAAGTTTCTTCTACCTGGGGTTGCGATGTCATGGATACAGGGCTCGGCTACACGGCTTTGGGCTTTTGCAGAGGAAGTGGTTTTTCAGATGACAACTACTTAGTTACCCCTCTCTGCTTTAAAAAACAGCCAGAAAATTAACCTTCAAAACTAATTTGCTGAGTTAAGAGGCCAAACATAGTGCATTTGCTCTATCAGGACACCTAACAGCATCTGAGGGAACAAGACTAGGCTTCATGGATAGCCAGGTTTGAGTCTTGGTTCTACCATTTATTGAGTGGTAGTAGGGGAGGTGACTATAGGAGGGAGGAACCTTACGCAGTGAATTATTCTTTCAACACAGTTTTGCTGCATAGTTATCAGGCATTCACCTATTCGATGGGAATCACAATTCCCACATCATAGCATTATTGTGAGAACCAAATGAATTAGCGAACCTAAAGTACTTAATACAGTGCCAGGCATACACTAATAGCTTAATATACAGCAGGTACTATTATTACAATCAGTGAAAATAGCTAGTAAAAAGCTTACCTTTGAGGATCTATTGTCCAAAGCACACATGCAAAACAACCATAAAGAAGCAGCTAGGTTACAGAGTGATTAAAGAATTAAGACTCTTGGGCTTACCTGGTGGCGCAGTGGTTGAGAGTCTGACTGCCGATGCAGGGGACACGGGTTCGTGCCCCGGTCCGGGAAGATCCCACATGTCGCGGAGCGGCTGGGCCCGTGAGCCACAGCCGCTGGGCCTGCGCGTCCGGAGCCTGTGCTCCGCAGCGGGAGAGGCCGCAGCAGTGAGAGGCCCGCGTACTGCAAAAAAAAAAAAAAAAAAAGAATTAAGGCTCCTATGAAAAAGTTCTTAAATTTTCTCTAGATATTTGAATCATCTTATATCTTGCTCCTATTATATATCTAAGTTTATATCCAATAAATTAAAAACTACTGTTTATTAAAGGATAAATTTTTAGCAGAAAAAGCATTTTGGAATGTGTATATATATATATATATACACCTGTTCTTATTAATCTAAGCCAGAGATTCTCAAAGTGTGGTCCATAAAAACCTGGGGATCACCCAAGACACTTTGAGAAAAATATATTGATAATAATGATAAGTTATTCTTTGCTTTTTTCATGATGTTTACATTTACACGGTGGTGTGAAAGCAATAGTGGGTAAAACTGCTGGTGCTTTAGCACAAGTCAAGGCAATGGCACCGAACAATAGTAGTAGTCGTTATATTCTGCATCATCACTTGCAGTAAACGAAAAAAAATGCCAGTTTTACTTGAGAATATCATTGATAAACCAGTAAAAATATTAGCTTTATTAAATCTAAAACCTGGTGTATACAGGTTTTTATTATTTTGTGTGACAAAATGAGATCACACAGAAAGCACTTCTGGTGCATACCAAAACCCAAAATGTAATGATAGTCTTGAGGAAAAGCACCTACGTGATTGTTTGTGCTGTGAGATGACCTAGCCACATTTTTCATGGAATTGTTTTTATTTGAAATAATGACTGATAGACAAGGAATGGTTAGTCAGACTTGTGAAGACATTTTGTCAAAAATAAATGAAGTGAGCTTGTCACTTCAAGGAAAACAATCGACACTGTTACCAGTAATAAAGAATTTAAGCTTTCATAGGAAACATAATTTTGGGAAACTGGTATCTGCCACTGCAAATACCAAATGTTTAAAAACTTATCAATGGAGATCAGTGATGATATTAACAAATGAGATTTTTTTCATATTGTACAATGAAATGTGTCAATCTTTGGAAGATTTGTGTAACTCTGTGAATTGATAATCTTCTGATGAACAAGGCATGCTGTTACTACAGAAAACAAACAAAAAGATTGATAAGAGATTCAAAGTTCCATTCAAAGTTCAAGGTAGATGAGTAGATTTTAAAATAAGAGTATGAAAAATTCACAGGCATGGTTTCAGATTCCACACTGAAAGTAACCTTTGAAAAACAATGGTCAAGTTTTGGTGTAATATTAAAGGAGAATATCCCCCATTATCTGAAGAACTTATTAAAATAAAACCCCCTTTTCCAACTACATACTTGTGTGAGGCTGAATTTTCTTCATAAACTCCAATCAAAACAATATATTTCAAAGGACAGAGTACAAAAGCAGAAATGAGAATTCAGCTATCTTCTATAAAACCAGATGATAAACAGATATGTAGAAATTTAAAGTAATGTCACTTCTCACTATTGTTTTTATTTTTGAAAATATAGTTACTTTTCATAAATGTTACTTTGTTAACATGTAATGGGTTTATTATTGACATTTTACAAAATTAATTATTTATAACCATTCTGTTTCAATTATTATATGGTATATAATCACAGGTAGTCAATAGATATAACCCATAAAAGAAAAGTTCTTTGGGGTCTCCATAATTTTTTTTAAGAGTGCAAATATGTTCTGAGACCAAAAAATTTGAGAACCTCTAAAAATCAATGACCTGAGCTTCTACCTCTTTAAGAAGTTAGAAAAAAAAAAAGATCAAAGTAAACTTAAAATAACTTGACAAAAATTATTTAATAGAGATAAGGGAAAACAAACACAGAGAAATTTAATAAAGCCAGTAAAGACAGCTCTTTGAAAAGGTCAACAAAATTGATAAACCCCTAGCTAGATTGATAAACCAAAAAAAGGGGAAAAAGAATATACATTACCAAAATCAATAATGAAAGGGATTCATCACAACAGATTCAACAGGTCAGACAATAACAAAAAATATTATGGACAATTTTATGCCAACAAATTTGACAACTTCAACGAAATTGACAAATTGCTTGAAAATACCTTGCCAAAACTGTTAAGAGATAGAACAGACAATTTGAATAGCCATCTTTCAAATAAAGTAAAACTGTTATCAAAAACCTCCCCCAAAGAAAAATCCTGGCTATTAGTTTTACTGGTAAAATCTATCAAATATTTAAGGAAGAAATATCACTAATCTGGTACAAATTCCTTCGGAAAATATAGAGAAAACACTTGACAGTATTTGCTGGTGGATTGGAGATGAGGAGTGAAAAAACAAAGGGAACAGGCTGACGTATAATTTTGTTTTGTGCTACCTGGGTAAATTATGGCATTTACTAGAATAGGGAAGAAACAGATATGTGGGAAAGGAGAAAACATACATTAATAGCACTGTTTAGAACACTGAAAGTTTACTTGCCAAGTGTGTATGACAAGTCTACAATTGGATATATGAGTCCAGAGATCTGTGGTGTAGTCCAGGGCAAGAGCTGTAAGTGTGGGATTTATCAGCATGTAAAGCCATAACCGAGATTACCTGGAGACTGAATGTAATACATGGAAAAGAGAAGGAGCTACAGGACTGAATACTAAAGTATACCAGCATTGAAAGGTAGAAGAAGAAGTTAAGCTGGCAAAGGAAACTGAGAGGGCATGGGCACTGAGGTCATAGGAAAACAAGGAGATATATGGAGATGAAGACAGGGGTCTTTTCTATCAAATGCAACTGAGAGGGTAAGTACCATTGAATGTGTCTACACAAAAGTCACTGTTGACCTTGACAAGGGCATTTTTAGGGCAGGGCTGGAGAGGGGAGTCTTACTGGAGTGGGTCAAGGAGAAGAAGTTGAGATAGAGAAGAAATAGAGAGAGAGAGAGAGAAACTCTTTCAATAGGTTTTACTGTAAAGGGAAGGAAAAAATGTGTTAGCGGATTGTAGATACGAGGATCAGTACATTTTTTTAAGGTTATAATTCCAATGGGAAGCATCCATTAGAGAGGAATACATTAGTGATGTAAAAGAAACAGGGCTGATCTATGCCCTTGAAGAGAAGCAGAATGAGCAAACAGGTTGGGAGGAAAAGCAGAGTATAGGCAAAAACACAGGTGGATTCCTGATTTGCTGGTGAGAAGAAAAAGGTAATCCCATCAGAGGGCTTTGGTTTTCTTTGTGAAGCATGAGGAAAGTCAGCAGATGAACGCAAGAGAAGAGGATGGGACAGAACATGAAATATTGGTGTTGGGTATAGGAAAAGTGAACACTCTGGGGAAATTTCATAGGATTGTAGGGGAGTATTGAGTGCCCATTTGAGAAATATTGTGAATTTAAAAGAAAACCATTTACCTGAGTTGTGAATTTCTTCCCCAGCAATATTCAATTACTTTAACTAGCAGTAATTGGATAGTTAATCAGGGTTCTGGAATTGTCAAAACAAAGAAATATGACAGAGTGAGAGAGAAGCAGGGAGGTAGAGTGTTTTCACAACCATCCTCTCTCCCTAAGATCATCAGAGTAAAACAATTACCAAGGACGTTTTGCTTCAAATCCACTGCTAAATATAGTATGAAAGGAACTCATTTTTTTTCCAGAGTTTATGGCTATGTGTCCATGACCTCACAGTTTTCAGTGGAAAAAGGGAAATGTAGTGGTCCACTGCCCTGAAAATTCCTCTTGGCTTTTAGATTCCACCTTCTTGTATTTTCAGCAGTCATCTGACCATAAACACTGCTATCTCAGGTATTTCTTCTTCTAGTAGCATACTGAGAACTTGTCTGCCACCCTGCTCAAATAAAAACTTGGTTGCTATGTATTTGTTGAACCTCACACAATTCTTGAACAAGAGAGAGTTGGCTCCCTTTTTCCTGGTGACAGGAATCAGTGTGACAAAATTTCAGACACCGAAGATTTCATAGGGGCTAGAGCATGTTGACCAACCAAGTCACTAACATTGTCCTCATCCAATCGAACTTATCCTCTAAAAGACTCACTGTGAGGTCACTGCAATTCTGATCTGTAGACCAGCAGAGATTAATTCTGTGCAGGCTGATGATCTATCTTTAGAGCTCACTGGAGTTCTTGGCTCTTCTAAAGCTCATCATGTGAAATGTTTCAGTCATCTTTGACAATGTTATCGCCCGACATGCACATGAGCTTTGCCTAACACCAATAGCCAGTCCTAAAATATAGTACTGGGCTCTCAGATCAGTTGCTCTAGATCAAAAATCTATTTTGAAAACAACAGCAACAATGACAGCAACAGGGATTTGCATATTTAATTAGTTTTCTTCCATGGCTTCATTTGGTGATTGGCAATTATCAGTAACAATATTTATAATAGCTAATATTTACTGAGTACCATTCTAAATGTTTTATGTAGATTAACTCATTTAATCTTTGCAGCAACCTAACAAGATAGGTACTATTATCATTCCCATTTTAAAGGTAAGGAAACTGAGTCACAGATGGAGTAAGTAACCTGCTCAAGGTGAAGGTACTACATATCCAAGCTGCAATATCCAAGCTGCAATTTGAACCTTGCATCCTGGCTTCAGGAGGTAGTCGTAATCACATAATATTGCCCCCATAATTTACTGGGCTCAAGTAAGAGAAAGAGTTTATTTATTAGATTGTATAACCTTGTTTCTACTAAAATTTTATTTTAGAATACCATATATTTAAAATATAAGTCTGATCATTTAACTTGAGAAAGTTGTATTTGCATGAAAAAGAATCAGACTAGCTGACCTAACAGAATTCTCTAACTTTCTATATTATCGTCAGAAAAATGTAAGTTTTTGAACAGTATAAAATTGTTCTTATTTTACTTTTTTGGACTAACAAAACTGGCAATTTTGTGTGGCTCAGCTTAATGCAAAGGGGAAGCTACAAATCCATATTCAGTCTAGCTCTCTGCTCTATTTCAGTATCATGATGATTTTCACTGCCATTCTCGATCTCTTTCTTGGCCTCCCTTGTGTCAGGTACAACCACCATCTCTTGGTGAGAGAGCAAGTCAGGGCCAGGGGCA